TATCAGATACAATGTCTGCACAGGGTTCAGTGCCTGAGCCAAATGTTAAAGTTATTTGTTCTTGTCAATAAACTAAACTTTACTGTGACCCTATGTTTTTATTATGCCACGTGTATTTTAAGATAGGATGTTATTGCTTGGACTTCTGCTGAGCCCTGTAAACATTGTTGGAGGTGGTAGGAAGCAAATATTCCCAGAACTGGCACCAGGAGCCTGCCAGTGTCAGGCAGCTGATTCTCAGGGGCTGTAGGAAGTATCAGCCCCTTCCTATCACTGTGTGAGTTTTAAAACATAGCAGGTTTGAAGTACCCTGATCGATTTTGCCTTCTGGGCTGAGATTTTCTTGCAGGGGTAGAAATGAAATGTGGTGAAAGGTGAATTCACACCTGAGACCTGCCGTTCCTCTGTCCATTTCTTATTTGTGGGTGCCCAGCAAGGTGTCACAGTATTTTCCAGGTGCAGGAGAGAAGGGCCAGCCCTGGGAGGAGGCAGTCACAGCCCCCCAAAAGCAATGGAAGCAAGGCCCAATTGGGATAACTGGCATTCGTAGGCTGCACACCAGCCTTACATCTCAAAATATACTTCTTTAAGCCTGGGGGTTAAGGAAATACATTTTCCTGGGGGAGACTGAGTCACAGAGAGAGTTTTGCAAGCTCTACAAACTAACAGAGACCAAGGAATAATAATAATAATTTTAAAAAGGCTTTTCAAACTTTGAGCCATCTGTGCAGAGTTTCAGTGTAATCTCCCAATTTAAAAAATAATGGCCATCTTCCCTTGGAAGAGTTTTAACATCACCTAGTTCTTCCTACCTTTTGGGCAGACTTGATATTTGGCAGGGAAGTGATCAAGGGTATATGTTCTGGCATTCCCACAAAAGCCTATCTAAAGTTGGTTGAGTTACAAGCTTTTGGAAAAAAATAATCAGTCTACAGGAGCTCAGGAGGCATTTAAATCTCTCTAAATTTCATGAAGACTCCACTTACGCTGGGCATGGATCCAGCTTGGATGCTCCATGGATGCTACACTGAAAGCTTCAGGTAGTGCCAGGTACAGACACTGCTGAAAAACCCAGCAGGGAAGAGATTGCCACTCACACCTCCAGGAACTGATCCTGCCCCTCTTTGAGGGGGGACAGAAGATGCTTAATTTTCTGGCATGGGGAAATAAGAGATGGATGGTTGGAGACTGAGGTTTGCTGCAAGAACAGACTGGAGTAGGTTAAAATGGATCAAATCTGGGGGATAGTGTGAGGCACCAATTTCACAGCTATTGCACGTTATTCCTTTCCTCATGCCCTGCCTGAGTCAGAAAAGCCTGGCCCACTGGAACAAGCCTTTCCCTAGATATTGAATTAAGATCTGAGATATCTGTCCTGTCATCTGCTTCTTGCAAGGAAACATTCTGGAAAGTAAAATTGCCCACATGCTGCTCCATGTGCATCCTGGCAGGTTACCATTCATAGAATCCCAGAATGGTTTGGATTGGAAAGGAACCTAAAGCTCATCTCATTCCAACCCCCTGCCATGGGGGTCCACTAGACCAGGTTGCTCTAAGCCCCGTCTAGCCTGGCCTTGAACTATTGCTACAGGATTTTAAACATTATTTTAAAAAGCATTATTCAGGGAACATATCAAAGAATCCTGTAGAAAACTCACAATGAGGTGATGAGATACCAGGGACTGAAAGAGGCACAAGTGAGTCCAACAAGCATTGCCCAGAAAACTTCAATATATTTTTCCTGACTTAAATGTGTTTCATTATGCAACTTTAATAATGAAGTTCGGGTATACTGTGTGCATATTTCACATCCAAGGGTTATAGTATAATTAATATAATTAATATACACAAAACAGAGCTTTGTGTATGAACTTATATCTGATCATGTATGGTACCTCAGGTACAGTTAATGGTACAAGAAATACTATTTCCTGCACATGCCACTACAGTGTCGGGATACTGGTTTTTTTATTATTGTATCATATTTACCCACAAGTAAATTCTGGGCTTTAAAATCACACAAATACCCTTGTAAGACATCAGGGTGCTCTGAGCTTTCAAGGGTAACTGAGAGCAGGGATAAATTACTGTTGGAGCTTCACTTAAGATCATGTTTGCTAAAGAAGAAACAGTCTCAAGCTGCACCAGGGGAGGCTTAGATTGGATATTAGGGAAAATTTCTTCCTGGAAAGGGCTGTCCAGCCCTGACAGAGCTGCCCAGGGCAGCGGCAGAGATCGCATCCCTGGAGGGATTTAAAAGCCATGTGGATGTGGCACTTGGGGACCTGGGTTAGTGGTGGCCTTGGCAGTGCTGGGGGAATGGTTGGACTCAATGGTCTTGAAGGTCTTTTCAATCTAAACAGTTCTCTGACTCTATGACACTTTTCCTGGGGAGCCTCATCTTGCAACTGAAATGATGTGGTGGAGACTGGCACAGCTGAGGGATCCCACTCAAATCAACAGTGGCTGTGCATGGATACAAGGCCTTGCTCACCTGGAACTGATTCCTGGATTAATTGGGCAGAAGGTAACCAACAGTCCTGGTCTTCAGCAGAACTTCTCTGAACTCCTTAGTGCTTCCAGCTTGTGATGCAGCAAAATTTTCCTGGAGTGCTCAAATGGGGTAGCAGAAAATCCGGGGGGCTGCAGCATGAAATGTGCTGCCCCTTTCCCATCCTAGAGTTGAAAGAAAAATATTTAAGCTACTGAAATAAAAATGTGAGTAGTCATTAAAATTTGTGGAGTAGGTATTTATTCCCCATTAAAAAAAGTGTGAATTAGAATAGGAGATGGCAAAACTGCTCCATAAAGAAAATTACTTCTTCCTTTGGCACTCAATGGTTTTCTTCGTGGAACGTTTCCGTCAGAACTTTGAAGTGCAGTATTTCAAAGTCCCATTCCCTCCTGTTTCCCTCCAAGCAACTGAATGATTGTCTAGTTACCCACAGGGTGTGAAGGGAGTGCTCAGTGTCTCAGGGAGTTGGAGTCTCCATCTCCATGTAGATGCAGTCCTGTAAATTCTTAGGGAAACAGAAATGCCTCCAGGTTCTAGATATTTTAGGCACCAAAATTACAGAGGAATCACAATTGGATCCAATTGCTTGGATCACAGTTTTAGGTGCTGCAAAAACACTTGAAGGATTCTTCCTGGACCCTGAATGGCTTTTATTGCCATAGGAGCTCCCTAATTTCTGAAAATCTCCACCTTCTCCCTTATGGACAGGAATTGTTTGGTTTTTTTCGTTTTTATAAACATCACAGTGAACTCCAGCAACTGAGACAGGGCTGATGGCAATGGTTACCAGCATTTGCCGTATCTTTTTGAACTATAACAAGAAAATTCCAGTAGCTCCTGGTAAACCTGGAAAAAAAGCACCCAATATGCTTTGGCCAAAGCTCACGGTGTTTATCAAGCCTCAAAAAAAATCTGAGCAATTATTTTTGTTTGTTAAAATGCTCAATGTCCATTTTATAAATCAGTGTTTAACACTGATGAGCTAAGGAAATAAATATCATTCACTTTTTGGAAAGAGGGTAAGTAAAGGATTAACTGACTCAGAAGCAGCAGCACTAGTGGAGGTGAGGGCTGGATTCCTGGGCTTCAGCCTCAAATTCAGCCACACTGACGTATCTCAAATTAGCACTAAACCTGATCATGTCAAATTTTTGTTATTGCAGTTCTGTCTTTAAATGGCATGTTTGTTGTGTTTGTACACTCTGATTTCTCCCAGAGTAGGTAGATACAATTAAGAAATTATCACTCTCTGCCACAACAATTCTAAATAGTGGAAAACAAAGTTTAGGAGTGGGAGTAGGAAAGGTTGAAGGATGCACTGGAAGCATGAAGACCTCTTCCTGCGAGGAATCTCATCTGATTTATTCTTTTCCACCTGCACTTGCTGGGAGATGCTTGAGCAGGTTGTACAAAGCCACCAAGAACAAAGAGGATTTTAGGCTGAAGGCACTGAGATACAGTACAGCCCACCAGCTTGGAACAGGCTCCAGACTGAGCTGTAATGTAAAAACATACTGAGAAGATATTTTTAGGCTGCTGCCTGAAGACGGGGCCAGTGGACAGTCCACAAGTCAAAAGTAAGCGGCCACATCTTCTTACTCCTCCCAGTGCAGGAACAACAGACAGGAGAGATTTCCAGGTGACAACTGACAAGTCCTCTGCTAAAGGAGGGGTGGAATATAAAGCAACAGCTTTTGCTTCAGCCAAGAGCTGCTAATGTGGGTCCTTTTGCTTGGCTCCTTCCTCATCGTTTGACATCCTCTACATGGGCCCACTGAAGAGTCCAAGTGGAGGAGCAGAACAACGAGACACCAAGTCTCCTGTTCATGTTAAGTTCTTAAATAGGAAAAGAACAGATCAGGACTGGCATTATGGCTGCTGGGGATTAATATTTAAGCACACATCCCTCCTTGCACATGTCACACTGTCACCTGGATCAGTGTCCTCCATCAGAACCCTCTTTAAAGCTGACACCTCACTCAATCAGGGCAGTGCTGGATGAGCTGTCTGCAGGATACCACACCAGGCTGGAGGGCTGGGGTGTCCTTCCTGCCTCTGAAGCTGATGGAATGTCCAGGCAGCTACAGCAGAGCAGCTCAAACGTGGCGTGTGGACAATCCTGGCAAACCCTCACAGAAATCCAGCAAGAGGGCGAGAACCTGCAGGTGGCTGTGGGGTTCTGTGGATGCTTACCCAGGTTTGTCAGTGTTTTGTCGCATCTTTTGCTCCTCTACCTGGGTCCAAAGCACCAAAGCACTGTGTGACCCACATCACCAGGAGTCCTGGGTTTGCGATTCCAAACACAGACATGTTACAACTGGAAAAGCCTTCCCCAGTTCTCTGGTGATCCCTGGCAGAAGCCAGACAGAAAATGATGCTTGTGTAGAAGTGAGTCCCTCCTGTTCTACTCCTAGAGTTGTATTCAGCCATAGGAATTTGACTGTGGGATCTACAGGAGAGAGGAAGACTACAAAGAGCCTTGGTTGGATCCTAGAAGCCCATTACATGGACTGGTTTTCATGGAAAAAACCAACTCTGTCATTTTCTTGACATCAGAGGGTACAGAGGGTCTGTACATTTGTGTGTGTGAGAGAGAGTGAGATCTGACAGTCTAACTATGATGTAATTTAAGTATTTTGGTACAGCAAAATGGAACAGAATTACTTTTCCTATTATCTTCCAAAAGTTATTGAAAATGATATGAAATATATTCTCAAGGAAAAAAAAAGTCAAGTTTTTTTTTTAAATGCAATTTCTTTGGCAGTTTATTCATTCGTTTTTCATTCACCCTCTTTTACGTTGTGAAGGCTTTCTATTATGAAACATTCTGTGGAAAAAAAGGAACAAAAAAAAAGTATACTACTTCTTTAAAATATATTGCAAGAATCCTCATTTCCAGATTTTTATTGCAGCACTAGCTGGTATTCTTGCATGCAGTTTTGTAATTTATTCTGAACATTCCACTTAAACCTTTTTTCAATAGCATGATTTTATTAGAGTCAGCTCACTGGACTTTCCCAAAAAGGTATTTAAGATCAAATAAAACCAGTGCTTGGAAAAATATCATTACAATATGAAAGCAGTTACAAAAACATTAGTACTGCAAAGTTTTATTTCAAATGGCTGAGCCTGCTGTACCCCAGGTTATTGCACTTCTACTTCCTCAGACACACTCACTGGAAAAATGGGAAAAACTGTCATCTTAGCAGTTTTTACCTGTTTCTCAAAAAAAGCACCCAATTTATAGGGAGGCAGTGATTTTTTTCAGCACCACTGTTAATAAGAACAGCAAACCATCCTTTGTTCCTCCGTTCCTTGGCTTTGCAGGGGATTGTTCTCCTCCTTGGAGAGGCTCCAGGGAGCTCAGTGATTCCCCAGAATGAATGGATTTGGGGAAAATAGTGGCACGGAAGCGTGGTTCGGGAAGAAGGGCAAACCTATGGCTGCTACACCCAAAAAAGGTTCATTTCAGCAATAAATGCAGGGTGATTGCACAGGAGTGTACCTGTGCAGTGGAGTACCACACCCTCGGGGCTCTCCCTACTCATCCCTGATGCTGCACAGCAGGGATGGTGCTGCGCCCCAATGTTCCCAGTAACCCCCAGCATCATTCCCACTGGGAATGCAGCTGGAAATGCTCCCAGACCTGCGCCTCCCCACAGCCAGGCAGGCAGGGCAAATATTTGCCTTCTTCACTTGTTATTTTCAGTACAGAATCGCAGACTGGTTTGGGTTGGAAGGGACTTCAAGGATCATCATTCCAACCCCCTGCCATGGGCAGAGACCAAAAAGGGATCAAACAGGAGATAATTGACAGCTGGCACTGGTGGAACTGGAGTTCAGCCCCATCCTCCTTTGGTATCTTTGAATTTCACAGGATGCATTTTAAAAGAGGTATTTTTGGGGGTGTTCCTGCCTGTAACATCACTTTAAATATTAATGGTAGTCAAAAGAAAAAGACCCTTAAACTGAACTAAATTAAAATCTAATCTAGAGTATAAATGAAAATGAAGAGATAAATAAAGGAAATCTTGCTTGCTGTACCACCAGATTCTGTGCCACAGGATTTCATTTTCTGTTCTTTGTATCTGAATACTTATGTTTATTTTATGGGGCAAATCTGAGGGGAAAGCAGTCATTTGAATAGTACCCCTTTTTTCCCCTTTTCCCAACCCTCTTCTGGGCTGTTTTTTCCCAAGCAGTGTATGGAGCATAGCAGCATCAACACACTTAAGTTTGAAGATTTGGTGCCATGTCTGGACTTTTAAATCCTCTTTTAAACTCGCAACTTACTGTTCATATTACTTTTCTAAGTAGAAATATGCTTAAAAAGTAAAGTCTTTATTGCTTCTTAAAAGGCGTAGTGCTCTGTGATAAATTCTCATATTTTGACTGTTAATATGTTTGAATGAAAATTATTTATACATTTTGGTGAGGTTGAATGGTTTTCATTTGATTGCTGCCTCTGGAAATGAAAGCAGAGTAGCAGGAAATTTCCATGTCATGCTGTGATGTATATCCAGATTATGAGCTGATTGTGCAGCAGATGAACACCAAGTAAAATCATTTGCATCAAACTGTGACAACTGCAATTCCTGACAAGGCCTCTTAGTTTTTTGGGCTATTATCATTGTACAAGAATATAATCTATTGACAGCAGGGCTGTTTAATACATTTAAAGGCAGACAGTGGAAGAAATCTTAACTGTTTTCATTCACCACTGCACAAGGGTGCAGATCAAAAGTGAATTATATTTAAAAATATGCATGTATGATGATAAGATGCATGACATTCATCAACCTGTTTAGTCATGGTTAAGCTGCACTGCTGAAGATCCAATATTACTGCCATATGTGGGCTGAAATAGAGACGTGAGACTGGAAATTAGATTATTGCCCAGCAGAAGTGAATAAACAGGGGAAGACATTCTTTCTTAATCTTTCTTAACCTTTCTTCTTGTTTTAAATCCTGCCCTTTTGTACTTTTAGAGGGGTGTTTTGTCTTAACGTAGATAAGCAAATTGAAACATTTTAAGTCTGCAGGAGTTTTACTCCTTTTTCTGTGGCAAAAAAAAAAATCCCTGTTTTTTTCTATACTAATAATAAAAAGGGTTGCCTATGTAGGACCTCTGATATCAGCTGGCTCTGGATCAGGATCCAAATAAATGCATTACATTTCCTATATCAGGTATGATTTTTTAAATTATTTGGGTAATTAATTAAGTTATTAAAAGAGATAATTGAGGGACAAACTATCTAACTGTAAAAAACCCATATTTTTGTGCTTTTTACAAAATGCTGCAATCCCCTCCAAGGTTCAGGGTAAGTAATTCTAGATCTCCTTGTTTTTTGGAGCCTGGACAGCACAGGCAAACCTGAACATTTTACCATAGAGGGAAGAATTTCATCATATTTGTTTTGTTATTTGATCCAGCATTAACAATGAGCAAAGATGGAATAATTGAAAAGTGCTAATTGTTAAAATCTGCTTTCTTGACTTCTGCTTGCACTCAGCATTTCCCCCCAAGGTAAAACAAGGCGCTCAGATCGCACATCTACGGGTGCTGGAGGGGGTGTGAAAAAGCAGGAAAATTATTATTTCTGGGATCTTCAATAACATTCCAAAAGTTGACACCATAATATGATTCCCACAGTGATGGTAGGAGATTCCCACCCCATCCAGCGATGGCTGGATACACCCAAATTTTCATTAGTGCACTGTTGTGTCAGAAAACTCAGGAAAGGCAAAGGACTAAAATTCCTGGATTCTTTTTCCCTTCAGTTTTGACTTGTTGGTGCAACACCAGTCACCTGAGCTAAACTTTGTCAGTCCCCTCATGATCAAGGGGAAATATGCAGTATTTCTTACCTCCCTGGGCTGTCAGCAGGGTTGGTTGGTGGGATAAAGGCACTCCTGGTGTGATATGGAAGGAGCAGTTGCTCTGCAGCCACCTCAGTTCAGATTCCCATTGGAAGTCCATTCCTGCCTTTGCCTGCACTTCCTGAGGAGTGAAGTGGGCTCTGGAGATCCCAGTGGGATGTTGTAAGCTGTAAAAATCATGAGAAATAAAGAAAATATGGCCAACAATGATGCAAATGTAGTTTTCTACAGAAACCCAAGACATGATCCTAATGACCTGCCCTGCCACTATGCAAATTCTATTAAAATGGAATTAAATTCCATTAAAACTAACTCCTGTTTTGCTTCACCAAACTCTTCAAATATATCTGTAGTTTCATCTATCTGCACAGTGTTGAGGATAATGATAAAAAGGGGTAATTTTTCAGTGGATAGGAAGGTATATCAGTCCTGCTTCAATAAAAGGGGGAAAAATGTTTGACCGAAACAAGGAACTTTTACCTGTGTTCATTTTGGTGGTAGAGAAAAACATGAATAAATGGTTACGGACAATTGGGGTTTGTATCATCCAAAAATAAAGAATTCTTCTGTGCATTATCAGACTTCTACCTTCACCTAGAGAATGTTTTCTTGCCAACAAACACCATATTTCTTCTTGGTACCAAACTGCTGGTTTTTCCACTGTAGATGCTCACACTTGTTTTATCAGTGCTCAGGCAATATAAGGTTTCTGGTTCTAATATTACAAAAACCTACAATAAGCATGAGAATGCCAAAAAATATCTCATTGCCATTAAAATGTGTGTTTTTCCAGTGTTCAGCCTATTTCACTTAGGTGAAATTCCTTCATTTTTGTTGCCATTATTTATTCATCTGAGACCACAATTCAGCTCTGTGGGTTGGAAGGATGACACACAGAGCATGGAAAACCTCTGGACTCAAAGGGTTTTTTTTTCCCCCTAATATCTGAGTTATTACCCCACTTCTGCCTCTGGAGAAGGTGACACCCAGCCAGTCCTGCCTTGGGATGACACTGGCATGGAGCTACAACCCAGGGCAAGGCTGGAGTGCTCCAGAACATTCCCATCTCCTGGATGGAGCTTTCTGTTACTTTATTTTGACATTGGAGAGGTTGCTGTGTCAATAACTAAGCATCAACCATTTGGGGTCTTTCAAATGTCAGCCCAGCGCTGATATGAAATCAAACCTGGTTTTATTGGATCCTCCTGATCCACCAGAGAAAACCTGGAGATTAAAAAGTTATCAGGTTTATGATGTCGTCCTTTTTGGAGCTGAGGAGCAGCTGTTGCTACATAACAGCTCTGAGCATGATGAACATTTTGGGAGAAGGGGTAATTTTTAAATAAAAAAAAGGAATGTAACTATTCTGGAAGAAAATCTGGCCACTGACTTCCTCTGACATGTGGAATAGGCTGTGATAGTTTTTTGGGGACCGCACGATGCAAAGTAGAAGGAAGCTGGTAATAAGCAACTTGGCATTTATTCTTTATGGAGGAATATTTGTTCCTCAAAGTCAGACTATGTGGAATATTAGCATTTGAATAAATTATTCAGCACTTTCTAGAGAACGCAAGGGGAAAAAATCTTTGCAGCATTATAACATGACAATCTACAGGGGAGCAGAAAAAGAAGGCTGTCATTTTTTCTTCAATTACAAAAGGCAAATATTTATTATTTATAAGTATTCGCCTTGTATAGGCTTAAATGTTATTTATGAACCTGTTGCATAGTGATTTTCAATGTAACTCATTATTTTTAGCCTTAGGGTGTTGTAAAGGAGCATGGATATATTTAATGACACTCTGCTAGTCAGCGCAATTACACTGTAATCATTATGTAAAATGTGCTATTAATTAAACCAATTTCTAGTTAGAACATTCTCTTCTGCAGGGCTTAATCTTAATCTCTGGCAATCTTTCTCTCTGTTTTTCACCCATTAATTATATGATTACTTTTTAAGTTACATATGATAAAATATGTTTTTATTTTTAAGCTTAATATGCTCAATTATTTGTATTTATCAAGCCATTTGCCTGAATTATTGAAAAGGCTTTATTTGCCAAACAAAAGGAAAGAAAAAAGAAACATAACACGAAGCAGTTCTCTGGAACTCAACAGCAGTTTGATGGTTTGCAATTGCTTCTGATCTGCTCTTTACATGTTCTAAGGCTGAATTTAATTTTCAGTTTAGAAACATCTCATCTTCAGTCTTCTCTTTTTATCTTAATTACTGCACAGAAATCTACACTTATTTTTAAATGCTTCATTTATACACAGAGGCAATTTCCCGTATTTTACCCCTTTTTTTTTTAAGTGTAGTTATACTAAAACATTGCTCAGTCTAAATGTAGTTGACTTGAACACCAACCAAATAATTAATATTAAGACATTATGGTGTTTTTTCAGCTACAAATTAATAGTGTTAACAAGTCTAGTTAAAATAACTGCATCTAAATGTCTACTCTATTTTAGAAAAGGGAAAAATCACCTAATTTTGAAGTCATCCTTGCTCTGCTCTGCAATGACCCCTTGTGGAAAAAACACTTGAAAAGAGGAGGAATCATCTGTGAAGTCTCTGTATATTCCCTGGAAATTCAATGTTTCCTTCTTGCCAAGAGTGATGGTGAGGGATTATGGACTAATAAGGCTGAAAAGCATTGGATAAATTTTTTCTGAAGTCCCAAGCTTTGGGAGCTCTTCAATTCAGGGGCTCCAGGGCAGCGTCTCTCTTGCAGCCTCCCAAGGCAGCTCCTCCTCAACCCCACCTCATCGTGCTGCTGTGTGTGAAACCATCTCTCCTGCTCAGCCTTTGCTGGAGAACTCCCAAGGGATGGTGTAAAACAAAAGTATTTATTTGTAACGCCCCACCCCACTCTGGATTTACACCTGGGAGGAACAGGCCCCTACATGGTGTGGGAGCTGCCTCATCCTGTCCCTTCTGTCAAGGTTGTCACCTGCTCCAGCAGACAGGAGGCAGATGGCCAAGCATCACATAATCATCAGTCTCATCCAGCCAGTGCATCCACATGTATCCAGCACATTGTCACGGTGCTAAGAGGTTCCCAGCAGAAGCCCAGGGCCCTCTTCCCAAAAGAACAGCACCCTCTGTGCTCTGGCTTTAATTAGGGGAGTAAAAACCTCTGGGGAAAGTGTTCCCCAGCCAGTTAATAAGGTTTTGCAGTTTGGGGCAGCCAGAGAAAACCAGGATTGGAAGGTGGAAAGAGGACTTCAGGTACCATGTCTCTCATTCTGGAATTTTTCTTAGGCTCCCAAAAAAAGCAAGATGTGCTGCCTCCTCTGACACTGCCCAGCCCCAGTTTGTTGCCTTCTCTGGCACAGCTCCAGCAGTTTTGGGCTGCTCTTCTCTGTGCCACCCCAACAGTCCCAGCTCAGCCAGAGCAGGGTCCAGGGGCTGCTCAGACACAGCTCCCCATGGGCACTCGGTGGTTTTGCTGTTTGTACAGAACTCCAGCACCAGCTGGAAATCCCTACAAGACCCATTATGGCATTTACTGCTTTCTTGGTGTTGCCTGAGGTAAGAAAAGCAGATGCAAGGGAAAGGAGGGGTCAGTCCCGACCTACCTTGTTATATCCACAGGGCAGCACCACACCAAATGTGCCCAATAACAGGGGCCATAAACTCCATAATGGAAAAGTAGGAATTAGGACTTTGGGGCACAGTGCAAAGCCACTGCCCATCTCCCTAGCTCAAACCTGCCCACCCTCAGTCTCATCATACACAAATACACGTAAGAGTAGGAAAATACATAAGAATGATGTCTACAGATAGTCCATAACATAAATAGAAAAGGGATCATGAGGTGAGGTCTCCTCAGGAATCCCACTGTACATTCCAGCAGCGTTATCCTCTGTGCTCAGGGTGCAAGAATCAGACAGTGGAGCATGTGTATTCCTGATAATTCTCCTTTCCCCATTGTTAAGTTTGTTTTTAGGCTGCTCTTCACTGGATGAGCCCAGCCCTCTCTCACAGAGAGCTCCTGGATCTGGCAGCAGGTACCTCGCAAAGAGTCCCTGGCGAACAGTTCCCTGCAACTCTATTTTTAATATACATTGCTGACCCTAATGATGCTCTATTGAGATGAGGGCAAGGAATGTCTGATCAAGTGGAGATTAATTTTTGACTGTGCTGCCTGGAAATGCATGAAAATGCACTCCTTTTTCTATTTAGACTCACAGGATGCTTTGATTGATTGACTAGTTTACAAATGAAGGTGATAAAATTAGGTTGAAGACCACATACATTTCTTAAAATGAGTCTGGCTGGTCGTGGAGACAATGAGGTTTGGACAGATTGTATTGCTGGTTTAGGCAATCTTCTGAACATGTCAAGATTTATAGACCTGTACTGTAATGTTACAATTGCAGCTCACTGATATAGGTTTCTTTGCAAATTCTTTCCCATTTTATTTGAAAAAGGCCATTAGAGAGTTATAGACTATTGAAAAAGCTTTTTCTTTGCTAACCCTTAATAAACTCTTCCAAACAAGGACTGCTGCATTTTTGTATTAAATTTAGACCAAAATCTATAAAACATGTTCTCCCAGGTTTGGATAATTTGATTATTATTATCTAAATGGAGTTACGGTTCCTATTGGCTTGCAGTAGCATATACAGTAAATAAAAGGTAAGTTAAGGTTTGTACAAGATCTTAGGACACTGAGGATTTTTCACTCTTCATTTGGATTACCGGATTTTGGGAATGGGAAGTATATTTCCCCAGGTTGAGGAATTATAAAAATAAAATCCTCATAATGTAGTGCTGAAATTAATGTTGCATTGAACTAGAAACAAATTACTATTAACATTTCTTTATTCTTATTGTTGCACAAATACCCACAGAAGCCTTGGGATTTTCTTAATAAAACAGACAAGGTTTACCAAACAAATGAAAACAGACGACGATGGGTTTCATGCAAAATTAAAACCCATGATGACATTAAAAATCATTACAAGAGAAGAGCAATAGATAAGATATCAAAGCTCTTTATGAATTAATAATAAATCCTATTTTATACATTTTGCCGTCAGACTAATGTTATCCAAGAACTTTGTCAGCGATGTCCTAGAGAGGGGGCCTGGGTATGTTTAAAATGGGAGCTCCTGGATTTTGTTTTCACAAAAAAATCCACCAAATATGTGATGCTTC